ATTATGGTGTTGGAGGAGACTCTTGAGAGTCCCATGGACTGCAAGAAGATCAAACCTCTCCATTCTGAAGGAAATCAGCCCTGAGTGCTCACTGGAAGGACAGATCCTGAAGCTGAGGCTCCAATACTTTGGCCACCTCATGAGAATAATAATAATAATAATAATAATAATAATAATAATAATAATAATTATTGTCAGGGGTTCAGGGAGAGAGGCGCAGATGAGGGAGGAGACTGAGAGCCTGGGGGAAGGATCCCAGGGCGACGAGGAAGAAGATGACAATGAGTCGAGGGGTTCCATGAGTCTCTCCAGTGAATCGGAGGATTCCCAAAAGGGAGCGCCCCGGGTCAGGCCAAGGGGAGCCACAGCGGGGAGTAGTCAGGAGCAGGGCAGCAGCAGGGGAACCCCCAGTGAGAGTTGGAGATCGGGACCGGCTTCTCCGCCGGAACGGAGTGAAGGGGGTGGAGTTCCCAGTGTGTCAGACGGAGCAGAGCAGGAAGCAGAGAGGGGAAGGAGATCGGGGCAAGACGTCCTGCCGGAAGGGGCGGAGAGTAGTACCGAGAGCAGTGTAACTGTCAAAAGGAAGGTCAGAAGCAGCGTACGCGCACCAAGTTCAAATGTGGAGGCGCGCGGAAGTGAGGAGAGCCCGGAGGAGGAGCCTGGTCCCAAAGCACGGAGGAGGGGGGAGCAGGCGTCAGAGGATTCAGCCTCTGGGGAATCCCGGAGGGAGGGAACCCAGGGGGGCAGAAAGACCCTGCGGAAAAGGAAGGAGAGGAAGAGGTGGTCCAGCGCAAGCCTCTTAAACTGGTGTAGAGGCGGGACTGATTCAGAGGGGACTTCAGCGGTCTAAGCCTAACAGACGTGGGGTCACGCGCCTCGGATGTGGAGCTAACAATGTTCTTCAATAAAAGGTTTTGTACATAAGCTGGACTTGGCGTTGGTCTCTTGTGAGCTGGGACCTGGGGTGGCCCTGACAATAATAATAATAATAAATAATAAATTTTATTTATATCCCGCCCTCCCCAGCCGAAGCTGGGCTCAGGGCGGCTAACAACACTAAAATAGTGCAACATTCTAAAAACATTATAAAAATTAATTAAAATCAAAATTGATGGCAACCGTACTAAAGTTCTGTAAAGATTGCCAAAGGAGGGAGTCAGGCTGCGCCCTGACCAAAGGCCTGGTGGAACAGCTCTGTCTTGCAGGCCCTGCGGAAAGATGTCAAGTCCTGCAGGGCCCTAGTCTCTTGTGACAGAGCGTTCCACCAGGTTGGAGCCGCAGCCGAAAAAGCCCTGGCTCTAGTTGAGGCCAGCCTAACCTCTCTGTGGCCTGGGACCTTCCGGATGTTTTTATTTGAAGACCGTAAGTTCCTCTGTGGGGCATACCAGGAGAGGCAGTCCCGTAGGTACGAGGGTCCTAGGCCGTATAGGGCTTTGAAGGTTAAAACCCTTCCTCCCTGGAAGGGAGGAAGACTCCCTGGAAAAGACCCTGATGTTGGGAAAGATGGAGGGCACAAGGAGAATGGGACAGCAGAGGACGAGATGGTTGGATAGTGTTCTTGAAGCTACCAGCATGAGTTTGACCAAACTGCGGGAGGCAGTGGAAGACAGGAGTGCCTGGCGTGCTCTGGTCCATGGGGTCACGAAGAGTCGGACACGACTAAACGACTAAACAACAACATAATTCCTTTAAAACAAATTAACAATGCAGCATAGATAGATCCCAATCCATAATGTATTCTGAGCTCAGATATTATGTCTGCTAACTGTGTAAGGGGCCAGAAGATACAAATTAAATCAATGTGGGAGAAATTACATGTGGCAAAGACTAGAGTTATATTTGCGTAACAGAAGGCTCAAAGAGTGAGCCATAACACTTGCTTCAGGATGAGCTGTCACCCTGAAACTCATGCGATTCACCACCCAGACAGCAGTGCAATGGATTTGGCGTTGGCTCAGGAAATCTAAGCAACAAAAAATTAGTGCACTTTTGAAAGGTTCAGACCACCATCTTCATTAAACACCAAGCCCAATTGTATTCAAATGTAGATGAAAGCCTGCTCCTTGATCTCAGGAGCGATCATGCAAAATTTCCCAAATCAATCAATTTCCCAAAATATATGGATTTTTGCTTCCCTCCACATTCTTGCCTCTTCCCCCAGTTGATGAAGAACCTCCAAACGTGCTTCAAATTTCACAAGAGAAAGAATGCAGTGGCAACTAATTTCAGCCAATAGGAATGTAGTAGGAGGTAATGTTAAGTACACCCCCTCATTGTTAGTAATATTCAAGAATATTGGCTATTTGCCTAGCATAATATCTAGGAGCCATGCTGTGGGACAAATTGCAATGGAATATTAATTTCAGTAGTTCCTGTTTATGCTACATAGAAGCTTATAATCACATAATTGGCTAATTAGCTGAAATCAATATGTGAAATCATCCCATCAACAAATGCTATACTTCTTAGTTCTTCTTCCCATCTTAGATTGCCAGGTCACAATGCCCAAATGACAACAGAAGCTTCAGCTGCCAGAATTTCCCTTGTGCACAACTCAAGCCCACCTCTCCCTCTTCATTTTTTGACAACGGCAATGATCCAATTAAAATTTTGCTGGATCCAGATTGCATCATATCCCATCGCTCTTCTCTTTGGGAGGAACTCCTGCCAAGTATCCAATGGTGCCCAGCAAGAAATGGGTTGAAGGTCTTAGCCACTCAGATGGCGATGATGCCCCATAACCTGATCAGGTACATTGGGAAGTGAAAAGGATTTTTCTCTCCTTACCTGCTTCCCCATTGCAATTCTTTAAGGGGTGGATTTTTACTCTTGATGTCAGGAGCTGGAGTCAGGAGTAGGTCAGCAAATAAAAAAGCAGAGCACCCGATGTCAGTGAAGTTTTTATTCCAAGAAACAAAACAGCTCAGTCACAGCAACCGTTCCCAGTAGGTCTTGCCCCAATGAAGCTGTTGTGAGAACTGAAGGTCTTCCCATCACTCTCTCTTCGCCCAGTTCTTTCTCTAGCAACCTAAGGCTGCATCAGAGCACAATTCAAATTGTTGGTGCTGACCTTTAAAGCCCTAAACGGCCTCGGTCCAGTATACCTGAAGGAGCGTCTCCACCCCATCGTTCTACCCGGACATTGAGGTCCAGCGCCGAGGGACTTCTGGCAGTTCCCTCACTGTGAGAAGTGAGGTTACAGGGAACCAGGCAGAGGGCCTTCTCGGTAGTGGCACCCGCCCTGTGGAACACCCTCCCACCAGATGTCAAAGAGAACAACAGCTACCAGACTTTTAGAAGGCATCTAAAGGCAGCCCTGTTTAGAGAAGCTTTTAATGTTTAATGCATTACTGTATTTTAATATTTTGTTGGAAGCCGCCCAGAGTGGCTGGGAAAGCCCAGCCAGATGGGCGGGGTATAAATTAATTATTATTATTATTATTATTATTATTATTATTATTATTATTATTATTATTATTACTTCTCTGCATGATCTGGAAGACAAGGAGGGAGGGGAGCTGGTCGCAGCAGGAGGGGGAGACTCCCTGGATTCCTCCATAACCTGCCTGATCGCATCTCTTGGCCCCACTCCTCTCCCATCTCAGAGTCTGGACTGTTCTCTGCCACACCCTCTTCTTGCTCACTAAATCCTACCTCTTCAACTTCTGACATCTCCTCCTCCTAGTTTGCTCCCTCTGCCCTCATCATCCCACCACCAATCCCCTGGATCTGAGCCTTCTTCCCTTGGGAGTTCCCTTGACCATCCAGCTGATGGGACATTGTAGCCCAGAACTTCTGGAGGCCACCAAACTAGCAATGTAAATGCAAAAAATATGTCTGTCCCCAAACTAGCTTTCCTTTGACACATTTTATTTCTAACGCTTGCCCTTCTGGTTCCGAAAAAATAGAGCCATCTTGAAGATGCAAATTGCTATTGAAACCAAGAAAAGAACTGCATGCCATTGCTGCGCACACTTGGCTACACAATGTACCTGATGCTCTAGCCTTCTTTAGATACTGTGGTCCATGCAGTTACAAGTTTGTGGCCAGGAAGAGCCGTCCCACCTCTCCTTGCTGCCATTTTGAAGTTGGGAACCTGCTGAAAGTACACAAGCTCCTTGCTAAATGACACAGGGAGCCTACATGTATACAGGAGGCTCTGCAGTTCAATGCTACTCTCAACGTGAGGAATTAACAAGGACAGGCTGATGGGGATGCTCCAGGGAGTGAGGGAAGTGAGCACAGTGGCACTCTCCCTCTAATGAAATGGTCTGAACATCCAAAATAGTCTAAACCCTCTAACAAGAAGAGGTGGGTTCTACTACCTGTGCCAATTAAAGGTAAAGGTAAAGGTACCCCTGCCCGTGCGGGCCAGTCTTGACAGACTCTGGGGTTGTGCGCCCATCTCACTCAAGAGGCCGGGGGCCAGCGCTGTCTGGAGACACTTCCGGGTCACGTGGCCAGCGTGACATCGCTGCTCTGGCGAGCCAGCGCAGCACACGGAACGCCGTTTACCTTCCCGCTGGTAAGCGGTCCCTATTTATCTACTTGCACCCGGGGGTGCTTTCGAACTGCTAGGTTGGCAGGCGCTGGGACCGAGCAGCGGGAGCGCACCCCACCACGGGGATTCGAACTGCCGACTTTTCGATCGGCAAGCCCTAGGCGCTGAGGCTTTTACCCACAGCGCCACCCGCGTCCCCCTGTGCCAATTACACAAATACAATTATTTATACAATTTATTCTGGGGAATGCAATGCAGACACAGAACCTCGCCTCTGCCCAACTAGATTCTATTTCAATAGCCATTCCTTTGCACAGATTCAAACCAGAAGATTAAGGAAACTTTCAGACGAAAGCAGAAATGCTGTCCAATTTCATGCTCCAAAGTCTGTGTCGCCCCTCCCCCCCCAATCCATACATGCAGAATCCTGTCCACAGCTAGCTTGGAAAGACAGACCTTGCTTACCCAGGACAAATAAGGGAAAAATCAACAAGTGGGGTTGAAACATTCAATTCCCTTTATTTTGCTCATTGAGGCTGCATGTACTGCATGTTTTGCTTTTGCTTTTAAAGGGGGGGGTCGGGACATCACAGGAAATTGTCATACAGCGAGTTTAAAAACTACAACAGTACATAAAGAGATCAAGGGGGTGCCCAGGGAGGGCTCGTCTAATAGCTCGCTCTCCTTTGTTCAGTATAGTTTTTACCACTTTCTTCCTACTGTACACATTTTACAGTAGTTGCATCAGATCAGTAGTTTCACATTATTGAAAATGTCTGTCACATAGGTACAAATTTAGAATCATCACATTACATGGCTAGTCTAGGTCATTTATAGATCAGATCTTATACTACAGTGATTGAAGTTCCATTACAGCCATCCTAAAAGGACACATAATCATTGCCTACTGGAAGCTCACATCTAAAGGGATATAAAAAGGTCTTATTTTATTTTTTTCCAAACTGACCCAGCTCATTACACACTAACAGCAAAAACCACTCCTTCTGCATTATGATCTTTGCTGGCAGGACAGCAGTGGTTTGGAGCCATTTTGCACCAATTGCTATTTTTCTCCCCCAATTTTGGACTCCCTCTGTTTGGATTCTGATCATTTTTGTGTTATGGAGGAATTGCTTTGTTATATCACTTAGAAAGGCTATTGTTTCTAAGTACTGGTTCTCTTACCAGATATGGTACTTACCACAGCATGGGAGCAGAGGCAAAACATCTTCATCTAAAAAACATACAGATCTATGCTACAATTTGGCAACGTAGGATATGTGCAAATATGAAACGCCTTTTTGAAGAAGCGCTTGATGGGCTACCCACAGAGATTGTCCAACAATATATGTCCCGACCTGTAGTTGCTTGCAGTTATGCATGACTATTTGCGCCAGAAATGTGGATGTGAATGCAATGAGGAGAGATGGTATCTGAATTGAGATAGGCATCTGACAGGCACCTGCAGTTCCCTGTTCAACAAGAGATTTGTGTATGGCAGCGTGCTTCCTATGCAGAGATTGGACCAGATTGCTCTCCAACCACACAATCACATTAATTCCATATGTGCTTTGATACCGGCAAAGGAAGAACCATCTTCAAGAACAAGATACTTATCAGGCCAGAAAGAAACGAAACCCTGAACTGTGACATAGCAGCTACCTGAAAACATAAGCACGCACACGTTTTTCTTTATGTCAGCAATCCAGGGCCAAATAGGATGTATTTAAAAATTGAATCACTAAAATTGAAAGGCAAAAATCGGCAATGCGTCTCCTCCTTGAACACATGATATACTAAATATTGATTTCTTAAAAAATAATTTATTGCTTTAATTTTTTTTTCCTTTACAACAGAAGACACTCAAAATCCAGAAAGAAAAAAGCTGTAAACGTTTAGTTTGGCATTCACACAATCAAAAGTTAAAATACCTGTATCTTCAACCTACAAAGCAATGGATGGCAAGGATTACGCAGATTGACAGGGTGCGAAACAGAACTTGCGAGAAAGTTCTCTTTTTATTGCTATCTACCTACTGAGGAATACAAAGACGGAAAAGAGCAGGCATAGAACAGGACACAGTGGAATCTACTGGAAAACAATATGCTGGTGATAAAAATGAGGATAACTGTCAGACTCAGCTGCACTGATCATGGGACAAAATCGTTTCCCCTGTACTTTAGGGAAGGGGGGGGAAATAAATAGGTAGGTATGTTGTATCTTCAGAAGCAATCACTGCCAAACAATGGTAAGTGCTCCACTGAGACCATCCCTGTTTCAAATGTATAACTACACATGTCCCCTTCAGCACGGGAACCGTGTAGGCAAGAGCCTCGCCCATGGATAGTTCCTACCCCATGTGAGACTACCCCACACAGTGCATAGTTAAAACTATGAAACTGGTTACTGAAAGGTGTGGTGTTGGCCGTGAACCCAGACAGCTTGAAAAGGGGACAAATTGAAGGAACTTAAGGCTATCAATTGCTACCAGCGATGGCTCCAGGATGGCATACCAGTCACTGGAGGACAAGAGCAGAAGTCAGCTATTGCATTCACATCCCGCTTGCGGAATTCCTTTTTAATGACTGTGGCAAGCAGAATCTAAGCTGAACTAGGCAAGACTTCTGTCCGATCTAGCAGCGATCCTAGGTTCTTAGTCAGTACCCTATCAGTGGCTACTGGCCATGGTAATTGAATGAAGCCACCAGGTTCAAAGTGTAGAACATAAGGATGGAAGAATTTTATCCAGCTCTCTCCTCTCCACCAGTTGACTTTTAAATGTTCAAATCGAATCAAATGCTTTTGAACAGCCAAAAGGTCAACCCCCCCTCCTTTCAAAGTATTCTGCCTCTGCCACACTCCCATTCATTCCTCCAGGACAAATGAGATCCCCCACTTTTGCACTAGGGATAATGGGGCTTGGAATCAAGTTTCACAATCCACAGCAGGAAACGATGCCTGGAACATTATTTGCAACCAAAGAGCCTGTTCTGTTTTGCTGCCTGTGGCCCCTTCCCCCAAAGCAAGGCTGCCCCGCCTCCCTTGGGGACAATCGAGGGACGAACCTGACCCAAATGGTTCCGTTCACATGTCTATCGTAGCTGTCAGGTCACATGAAGGGGAAGTGGCTCCCCCATGCTGTGTGCACTGTAGAAAGTAGACGAAGTTGATTACAATTCAGAAACCACTTCCATTTTCAAGATTAAGTAACAACTAGTTATTACCATATTTTTGGTGCTGAGGTGTTAATATCTCAGTACTGAAAAACATGGGATATGTTTCAATGTGCCTTTCCCCACTTGAATATGCATGTGAGCAGGAACTGGGTTGGTAGAGCATGGGGCTCTTAATTATCAGGGTCAAGGGTTCAAGCCCCACATTGTGCATAAGATTCTTGCATTGGGGGGGTTGGACTAGATGACCCTCGGGGTCCCTTCCAACTCTAGGACCTCCTCATACCCAAGTGCTAAACATTTTGTCAAAAGACCCCTAGTTAATACTGCAGTGTATTCTTCCTACTGCTATATATGCTTACTGGGTGGCTCAAGCAGGCAAATGGCTGCCCACCATCTCCACTGCCATCACACCATGGAGTGGGCATGTTCAAGGGCTCTGTGGTTGCAGCAGCCAGGTACACAAGATCTAGATAAAATTCAACTGAGCGCTGCTTTCCCTTTTGCCTGCCTCTATAACAGCGGTTCTCAACCTCTGGTTCCCCAGATGATGTTGGACTACAACTCCCATCACCCCTAGTTAGCAAGGCCAGAGCTCAGGGGTGATGGGAGCTGTAGTCCAACAACATCTGGGGACCCACAGGTGGAGAACAGCTGCTCTATAATCGACTGCAGGGTGGCACAATGAGCACTTGAGTCAATGGGAGGTCTGTGAACGACTCTCAAATCCCCACTGAATCCATTCTCTTCACTTGAAGTTACTCATTTTCTTAGGGCTGGACGGGCACACAAGGCCTTCCATCCACCACGGTAGCCCCTTTGGTTGCCTATGGATCTCTAGACGGAAAACAGGGATCTACTGAACCATATTGGGATTCTCTGTGTGCACTAGTGTGTCTGCCCATGTGGCGTCTAAAGAGTTTGGTTTGGGCAGGTCTGTATACATTCTTAGAGCCATAATCTCTCTGGAGAGATTTTCGTTTATTCTGTAAACAAGCAGTGAAAGCCCTAAAGAGCAAACTTAAAAGGAGTAACAACCTTGCGATGGGTGTTTGACTTGAAATCCAATAGGGTAATTGACAGGAATGACTTGAATGGACAAGACATCAGTCATATGACGGCTGCACAAGTTAGTCTATTTTAGCTGCTTGCATTGTGCCAGCCCATAAACTTGCAAATGGATTCTACGATCCTGATACGATCTGAAGGCTCCCACAATGTCATGGGCACCTCTAAGGCCATATTAGTGCATAGTTAAAGAAAAAGAAGGAAGAGTCACTGCTTCTGAAGGAAGAAAAAGCTAGATTCCCCCCCACCAAATGAAAATAATACATTTAGCAACCTGACAACCGGTGTGCATCCTACATAAAAATGTCCACTGGCCTTTTTATTATTTTAGTCACCTCATAATTTATAATAAATAGGTTAATCACAACCGATAAATATGCATCTTTAAGTAAACAAAGGAATGAAGAATTAGTGTTTATACAGAGGATGCGTACATTTCAAAATCATAGATAATCATTGAACTCTGCCAATGAACAGATTACTGGCTTCAAGAACAGTGTTCAGACACACAGGATTATTGTAAAAACCATAACTGTGCTCTGTACCACAGCAAATTTTCTTTATCAAATTAAAGTCACAACGATTAAAACAAAGTATCATTTTTAAAAAGATTTGTGACTTCTAGTTCCAAAACTATCATCGATACATAAAATAAAACACTTCTTAATGATTTCCCATTTGAGAAGCTTCACATAAAATTATGGCATCTCCTAGAAAAAACTTTTAAATGAGAAAAATATCCCGCCCCGCCCCCATTAATAAATTTTGTTTATATAAAACAGCTAAAGAAAGAGGCACCCCCAAAAAATGTGGGAAAAAATATTGCAAAGGAGGTTAATGCCTTGTTGCCCAAGGTTAAGTTCTTGACAAAGGTATGATCCAGCCAAAGTTAAGTACTTTTGCAGTGCAATTAAGTATGGATAGGACTGCAGTCTCAACCAAACTCAACTGAGAGATTTAAGTGTGCGCCCAACTCCTCCAATGAAATGAATAGGACTTAGAGATGCAGAGAGGCAAACTCCTGCTGGTTGCTTCTCTGCTAAGAGTTGCAACCTCCTCCTTGATTCTATGTCCTATATAGGACATCTATCTGGAGGTCCCAGGGCTTTAATATCAAATGTAATACAAATATATGGAAATATATATCCAGATCCTTACACTGGCATACTGCGAAATACCATGGGTAGACATTTTGTGGCATGGCAAAGGACAGACACAATTACGCCAGTCTAGCTAATCGATAACTTTTGTTTTTAACTTTGGCTGAATTCTGGTCAATGTTATTAGATAAGCTAATCAAAGAGGGGATGGATGATGTGCGTATAGCATCAATATTTTTGCACTCAACACGCACCCACACACACTTTTCTTTTTCTTTTACAATCAAATATATATAAGCGTTAAGTTCAGCTTTCTAAATATGTTAGTGTACAATATTGTTCTGCCCCATATAATTACATTTGAATATTCTTGATTAAGAAAAATTTCAGCAGTTTTTCCCCCTCTCCTTCTTAAAAGAACGCTGCATTTACAGTGCATAGCTGTAACAAAAAGAAGCATCGTCTTGTCATACGGTATGTACACAAAATAAAAATACTCCATTTAACATCTGTAAATACTTAACTACATTCATGAATGTAGTATATAATCTAACTGTACATCCACCACCCCTCCAACCCGCCCCCTGAAGATTTGCCCTCAATGTTTTTGTAGCGTAATACCATGTCGGCTCATCGAAGGGAGAAAAACCACCCAAGAAGCTGGCTGTTAATGAGGGTCTCGAAATTTCTCTACGTAAATGTTTTGGACGCTGACATGGATGTCACAATTAAAAAGACAGAACTTTAAAACGCTATGGAAGTTTTGAATCCTTCCACCATTTTCTGCCCTTCCCTTGCCTTCGTGAGAGAAGCACAATGAAAGATGGCGGACCTTGTGGATCTGTAGATTTCTTCAGGATTGTCGTCATTTTAAAACAACATGGCGTGAGAAGAAGCTTCTTGAATGAAACAAACAAACAAACAAAATCCCAAAACCTGCAGTGTGTCTCAGGTTGTCAGCAGCGGAAGTTTGAATTTGCTTCATTTTGAAAATGTTCTATGTACACAATTTCAGAGTTCGCATATATTTTTTTTAAAAGGTTATCTCTATGGAACTGCTGCCATGTCAAATGGTTCTCGCTTGGCACTCTACAAAGATCAAAACCCTCGCCCTCTTCACCCTGGAAAAGCAAAGTTGAGACTTGGAAGTACACAATTGCTCACTTCAGACCCATTTTGCCTCTTCATTCCTTAAGCAGCTGTCCATGTAAACTATGTTTTTGTATATGGAGAGTGTGTGGAGTTAGGGAGAAATTTGTAAGCGTGAATTCTTCATTGTTCGTTATTGAAGGACTTGACGTCCATGAGGTATTCGCCATCCCTCCATTTTCCTTGGCCACGATGCACGTTACCTCCGCAAGCTTCGCTGTGCCTCTTTGAGTAAGCTGTCAAAATCCATGGAGTCATACTTGCTCTTAGTAGAAGCAGGATCAAAATCGTCTGAGTTTGAATCTGGAAGAAGAGATAGATAGGTAGAGTCGTGACTATTGTGACTATGATTTTTTTATATATATAAGAGTATCCTTGACGTGACACTACTGGCTGATTTGCATGCAACTTTGGGAATGCAAATTGCACTAGGATTCATCAAGACTAGAGTCCAATCTGCAATGGATAACAATAACTAATTTGGCTACCTATTTGAGTAGTAGCCTAGCAACTATTACACATTCTTCATGCTATTTATCTGTTTGTTTGTTTTTTAAAAAAGATTTAAAAAAAAGATTTTTCATAATACAATAAGACAAAATAAACTAATCTAAATAAAAACAAAAACAAAACAGCAGAGCGAAAAAAATAGGGGGGGGGGGAGAGGGAAAATAAAAAGGACTTCTGATTGTCTATCAGTTACATAAAATAAAATTTTCAAAATATTCACTCTTGAATGACATCACACTGTATTAGGAAATATTTTCAAAGTCTTCCAAACCAAGTAATTCAGATTAAATCATTTTCCTTTTTACACAAAAAAATCCAAAAGGGGTTCTCTCTAGTTATGGTTACTGATAAATTTCAACAATAGCTTTCCTCTAATCAAACATATCAACGTTATCGCCAACTACTTCCACAACCATTGCTCCATATTAAGCGCTAATATTTCCACCTCTGTCTATACTAGAGTCTATCTGTGATGATATATTAAATGATATTCCATAATTGGTTTTATTTATTATGCATTCATTAATTCGCATCCAGTTCCATATCTTCGGTTCCCATTTCCTGTTGTATTTCTCATAGTTTTCCATCTAGATTTTTAAAAAATTACCCCTTCAATTTGCATTCTTCATGCTACTACAGGTCCAGCCAACATTATTTTTAGTGACGTGGCCTTCCTTCCAACCTCATCTTTACTGCTATGTGGAAGGTGGCTCCTTCCACATCACTTGGCATTAAAGCCATTTTGCAGGGGACCATGCCACTGTGCTCCCTTCCCATGCCAATGTGGTACCAGTTCCCAGAAGGAGTGACACTGCTATGCACGCAGTTCTCCCATATTACCTCAATCTTCTAGTCCATGGCTAGGCAAACCAAGGCCCGGGGGCCAGATCTGGCCCAATCGCCTTCTCAATCCGGCCCACGGATGGTCCGGGAATCTGCTTGTTTTTACATGAGTAGAATGTATCTAAAATGCATCTCTGTGTTATTTGTGGGGCATAGGAATTTGTTCAGTTTCCCCCAAAATATAGTCTGCCCCCCCACAAGGTCTGAGGGACAGTGGACCAGCCCCCCTGCTGAAAAGGTTTGCTGACCCCTGTAATAATGACAAAGAGCCCAATGGAAGGAGACTCCACTACCACTACAAGAAGCATTAGAAGGGGCTATTTTTATTTACACACTTACACACACTTAAAGGTAAAGGTAAAGGGACCCCTGACCATTAGGTCCAGTTGTGGCCGACTCTGGGGTTGCAGCGCTTATCTCGCTTTATTGGCCGAGGGAGCCGGCGTACAGCTTCCGGGTGATGTGGCCAGCATGACAAAGCCGCTTCTGGCAAACCAGAGCAGCGCACGGAAACGCCGTTTACCTTCCCGCTGGAGTGGTACCTATTTATCTACTTGCACTTTGGCGTCTTTTCAAACTGCTAGGTTGGCAGGAGCAGGGACCGAGCCACGGGAGCTCACCCCGTCACGGGGATTCGAACCGCCAACCTTATGATCAGCAAGCCCTAGGCTCTGTGGTTTAACCCACAGCGCCACCTGCGTCTTATACACACTTACACACAAACACAAACACACACACACTTCAGCAGCAGGGCTACTCGTACAGGACTCTTACCCCAGTGAGTTGGGATCTGGATATGTAAGCAAATGCTTACTACAAGCCCCTCAACAAAAACCCCTCTTAGCTTTAGTGCTGCATTTAATTCACAACATATTATGCTGTTTCCCACTTCTTAATGGGTCACAGTTATTCCTTGCAGAATGTTACAAGCCATTTTGAACACAAATTGTGGGCTCATCAGACGTACTGTTCGGGTGGTTCCATTAACTACAACCACCCTTTAGAAAACAGATTAGTTTAAAATAGATAATAAATTAGCTATGTGTGTTCAGGGTTTCGCTATTCTACATTTGACTCATTTTTCCCCCCTTAAAGGAAAGGGACAGCAATTTTTAAAACAAAAACTCGGAAAGGCATTCTGAAGTTCTGATGAGGAAAAGGTTTGAGGATACAGATACACTGACAACATGGAAAGCAATTCCAGAACTAACCCCCAGTGATGGATAATGTTCAAGAAGGTCTCTTTAAGGCAGGTTATTTTATACCCTAGATGTTTTGAGATACTAAAAATGCCCCTGACTTCATCAATGTGGAAGATAAGTCAGGACTTCAATCCGTCTTTACTGGTTTTATCAGCCAGTGTTTGAACAAATGATTTGCCACCTTTTATATTTTCATCACTGGGATTCTATCTCTCTGGCAGTCAGCTGCCTTTCTGTGGGTTTACACTATCTATTTAGCCAGTGAAGTGAATTATAGCATATTCACTTTGAACAATGCATATCGCCTTTATCATTTAGACTCGGAGAAGACATCAATTGGCTAGGGGAAATATTGTTTTGTATTCACTTCCCGCATTACACAAAGGAGAGGGAGAGTGTACAAGATTTCAGACAGACAGAGGAATAGCAGTATGCTGAAATCTTAACGATCCTGGTCATTAATTTGATGTTTAAAAACCTCCACACAATTAGACTATTAAGGACGGCTACAAGTGTCATCACACTTAATCCTATTTTTGGTAAAAGAGAAACATTTCCTATCCTCCTGCTTAACCTTTAATATTCAAATATATAGTTAAGAGAATTCATTATAAGAAAAAGGGTCTTTGGATAAACACATCTCAGAAGCCATTTATCAGGAGAGTGCTAGCTGCCTTATCTACAGGCGCTGCTGTGGTGATGTATGAAATGGCTAAGGTCCAGGATGATAGGCAAGTAAAGGGTGAGGGACCCCTGGATGGTTAAGTCCAGTCAAGGGCAACTATGGGGTTGTAGCGCTAATCTTGCTTTCAGGCCGAGGGAGCCAGTGTTTGTCCACAGATAGCTTCCGGGTCATGTGGCCAGCATGACTAAACTGCTTCCGGTGCAACAGGACACTGTGACAGAAACCAGAGCGCACGGAAATGCTGTTTACCTTCCTGCCGCAGTGGTACCTATTTATCTACTTGCATTGGTGTGCTTTTGAACTGCTAGGTTGGCAGGAGCTGGGACAGAGCAACAGGAGTTCACTGCGTCATGGGGATTCGAACTGCTGACCTTCCAATTGGCAAGCCCAAGAGGCTCAGTGGTTTAGACCACAGCGCCACCCATGTCCCCAGGTCCAGGATGCTATAGGGACTCCCTTCTTCCAAATGATGCTGCCTGCTTCCTGAGATCAGAAGGAGAGACCCTTCTCTGTATAACACCTGTGTCCCACCCTGTCCCATCTATGGTGGGATGAGAGGGAGGGCCTTCTCAGCGACTGTACCCAGATTATAAAACACCTTGCCCTGTAAAAATATGGTTGGCACACACCCTTGCTACTTTCCACCAGTTGTTGAAAAATGTGTTTTGATTTTAACTGATGACCTCATCTCGTTGGCTGTAATTTCAAATGCTGAAAGCCGCCGGTGAGTGTGTTTTTTTCGTACCGGAAGCATTGGGCTATGAATGTTTTAATTTTTATTTTTAAAAAGTGGCTTTATCACAATTTGAAGGTGGTGAAATATGAGCAGAGGGCGTGAGGATTAGCACATGTGTTCATCCCTAGTGCGATGCTGCTATCCTGAAGTCCACTAACTGCCCAAGTGTGGTTCTGCAGCGGTACAAAGAACTCAGGCACAACTGAAATCTATGGTGGCAGCACTTTACCACAACACTTTACCACAAGCAGAGCTGGGCTCCCTTTTGCTGTCCCCACATGTGGAGAACGTTGAAATGGCAATCTTCCACATTGGCAAAAACAGACCTGGAATTTGGTTTAGAAAGCACTTTTGAAACGACTGCAGCTACTTTTCAAACAAGGTCCTCTAAATTTAATTTTAATGTTTGTTCCAGCTTGAAAAATCATAGGAAGACCCTCGAGTAAACTGAAATTGCAGACCCTACATTCAGCCCCCCCAGAAGTAAATGCCATACCTAGGTCTGCATAGTTAGACTTGCAAAATTGCTTTTGTCCACAAAAATACAGTTCGAAGTCAGGTTCGTTGGCTCTGCGCAGTGTGTACCCATTTTCTAGAGCGGCAAAGGCATCACAAGTGTAGCGGTAAGTGATGAAACCATAGCTATCTCTGTAATTGAAAAGAAAACATGCTGTTGAGAATTACAATTAAAAAGTATTAATGCACGTCAACGTCACCATTTCCTAAGAAGCAAGAACTCTACGGGGGCTCACCTAGCGTAAATGCCAACACCACTGCGTCCATTCATCAGCACAATTGTCCTGTCAGCCAGCTAAATACTTTTTTTCTGGGACATGAAATCTCAGCTATAGCAAGATGAATAAATAAGGGGGAAAGCGGGGGGGGGGGGTGAGAGATTTTTTAAAACTTTAGCTTGACTTCTGACACAGCACTTTCTTGTTGTCACGAACTTATGGGCATCTTCCTTTCTTTTTTAAATGTACAGGGGATTACAAACACCTCAGGTTACAAACACCTCAGGTTACAGACACTTCAGGTTACAGACTCCGCTAATCCGGAAGCAATACCTCAGGTTAAGAACGTTACCTCAGGATAAGAACAGAAATTGTGCGGCAGGCCCCATTAGCTAAAGTGGTACCTCAGATTAAGAACAGTTTCAGGTTAAGAACAGACCTCCGGAACGAACTAAGTTCTTAACCAGAGGTATCACTGTACACACTTCCTAACAAGGAATAATCATAAAGGCTAATCTCACCCATCATCCTGTAGATTTACGGTGCACTCCTCAATTTCACCAAAAACTTCAAACCGGTCTCTCAGTTCTGTTCGGGTCGTGTCAGGCCCAATTTTGCCCACATAAATTACACGTCGTTCTTCCTGTTGGAGAGGAGCACATGAAATAGCTTGTTTGAAAATACATATATAAAATACATATATAAAACTGAGGTGATGTATAATTCTAATAGTCTAGTTTAAGACCACCTAATTTGAAAGAGCAGATCCGCCTTTTATCTGTTTTGGGGTGGTTTGGCTGACTTGTTATTTGGCAATAGCATTAAATTTTGTGCTGTCTTTATCCTTTATTGTAGGGATCAGGTCTTTGATTTTTAGCGATTTTGCATTTTTTTTAAACCGACTTTTATCTGTGCTGCAAGACACTAAAAGGCTGTGTATAAATTCTTCTCATATAAAAATTAAATTTAATATATAAATTTTAAAGTGCTAAATCCCTTTGCCTAGAAAAAAAAATTGGGCTGTAGAAATTGTAGCAGATTTGTACACTTCTAAAAAATGGAATGAGCTGTAGCTTGAGCAAGTTTGGTCTGACTAACTCTCCATGAACATGTTTTGTTGGCATCCTTCTGTCTCATGAGAAGAGTGTGCCTTCAGGAGTGCTGGAGAGTTTTACAATGCCAGCTGCAGTTGTAGAGACTGATACAGGACAGCCATGTTTTACTGCAGGTGGAGCAGATGAAGGCATCTGGTTGTGCTGCTACAGATGCACAATGGCGTTTGTTCTCTCTGAATTCCTTCTAATGGTCATTCCTCCTCTGGTCACTGCTGTGGATATACAACCTGATTGTCTCCAGACACTGTGTTTTTCTGCAAGGGATTCCCACACAATGTAGTTGATATTGCCAGCCAGTGGCGTCGCAACGGGGGGGGGGGGGCGGTTGCGCCCCGGGTGCCATGTCTGCAGGGGTGAGAAGAAGGCACCCTGCCGTGGCTCGCGGTGGCGTGAGCAGCCATCGCGCTGCCGCTGCCGTGTATGGAGAATCCTTCATTCGCGGCTTGAGCCGTGAGCAGAGGATCCCAGTGCCGCTGGCAAACCACTGTGTACAGCGCATGTGCGATGTCACTACGTACGGCGCATGCATCATACATAGCACGTGCGCCCTACATAGCGACGCCCCGCCCCAGGTGTCCCTACGCCTTCGTTCACCCCTGTTGCCAGCTTCATGTCACACTTGCAGACAATTTTGCAAAGCAGAGTTGGTCTGCCAACAGGCCTGGTTCCTGAAGCCAGCTCCCCTAGAGAATGTCTTTGGGGATCTTGCCAACTTCCATTCTGTGGACATGACGAAGCCAGCATAGATGTCATTGAGACTGCAAACATGATGGGGATGTGGGCTTGGGAGTACACATCTTTGTTTGAGACTCCACCGTGCCATGTGATGCCCAAAATCTTCCTGACGCAGTGTGAAGTAAAACAAACTCTGATACTGTGGGGTGGGGGGTATCGGAAAACCTATGTGCATGTGTTCACAACTCTATGCTTCTGGTCCCTTAGCTAATTTAGAACTCTAATCATCCCTAGCTACCAGGACCATTGGCCGAGGTTGATGGAGCTGTAGTCCAACAACATCTGGAGACACAAGTTTGAGAAAGCTTGGCGCTGTGGCGGATGCGGGTGGCGCTGTGGGTTAAACCACAGAGCCTAGGACTTGCCGATCAGAAGGTCGACAGTTTAAATCCCCGCAATGGGGTGAGCTCCTGCTGCTCAGTCCCAGCTCCTGTCCACCTAGCAGTTCAAAAGCACATCAAAGTGCAAGTAGATAAATAGGTACCGCTCCGGCGGGAAGGTTAACGGCGTTTCCATGTGCTGCTCTAGTTCGCCAGAAGCGGCTTAGTCATGCCGACCACAGGACCCAGAAGCTGTATGCCAGCTCCCTCGGCCAATAAAGCGAGATGAGCGCCGCAACCCCAGAGTCGGTCACGACTGGACCTAATGGTCAGGGGTCCCTTTACCTTTACCTAAAGGTTCTAGATAGCACAAGGAGTCTCCACTTCCCAGTTCACGGAGCGCAACAGGGATGGGACTAGAGCACTCAGTCCATGTGTAGAATTCATGGAGAGAGGCAACAATGGCGACATCATATTGAGGGCTAAGTCTCAGAAGAATTACCAGCATATGGTATAATGTGTCAGCAACATGTAAGCATGGTCTCTGTTTCCATTTCATACTCCTTGGCTTTATTTTAGGTTGCGTTTGCTCCTAATGGCCCTGCCTTGAAATAGGAGGATTCAGCTCATAAATCTGGGAACAGTAAAGATTTGCACATGTTCTGCAATATTCCTCCCCCCCCATCACACACAAATGTCTTAACAAAACAAAACTTAACTGCGCTGAACCACTTGATAAGAAACAATTTGGTTGACACTAGCTATTGAACCAAAATGACTGACCAGATGGAGCATAACGTAACAGCAGACTTTCTAATACACTTCATTTCAGATAATATATCTGGATTGGAAGCGGGGGAGGGGGGGAAGACCCATAATGTTTCATGCACCAACACTGAAAACGTAATAGAGCTATGTGATGGGAATAAATACTGCATATGCTCCACAAGATTTGTCACGAGTGTGATTATTTTTGGCTTCTATTTCCCTTCTTCTCTTTATTTAGGCTGCGAGAGATAACCCTGCTAAAACCGAACCATTAAATTTTTTTTAAAAAAAGCTTGGTGAAGCACAATTAAGGGAATAAGTAAAAACGACCAAGGCACAGAAATTCAAATTTGAAACGGAAATGTACCATATGTCCTCCAGTATGCGAGAGCGGCAAAAGATTCCACTAACTATTCCCTTAAACGGCATGCCATTGTGCCCACAGATTGGGAAGCATAGTTTGCGTTGCAACTCTTACATGGCTTTTCATAATTCCAAGAGGGTTACAGTGGCTTTCTTTGCTGTTTCTCTGATATGGGGCCATAAATTTGCAAGGGTGAATAGAAGCAATACACAGCTAAGCAGCAAACAGTGTGGCCTCACTGCTTGTTCCTGGTAAACTAGTAATATACGCCAACTGACGATGGAGGTTCCATTTAACTCCTAGCTAATAGCCTAAACCACAAGCCTAGGGCTTGCCGATCGGAAGGTCAGCTGTTCAAATCCCCGCGACGGGGTGAGCTCCCGTTGCTCTGGTCCCAGCTCCTGCCAACCTAGCCGTTCGAAAGCACGTCAAAGTGCAAGTAGATAAATAGGTACCAATCCAGTGGGAAGGTAAACGGCGTTTCTGTGCACTGCTCTGGTTTCGCCAGAAGCGGCTTAGTCATGCTAGCCACATGACCCGGAAGCTGTACGCAGGCTCCCTTGCCCAATAAAACAAGATGAGCGCCGCAACCCCAGAGTCGTCTGTGATTGGACCTAATGGTCAGGGGTCCCTTTACCTTTACCTAATAGCCTTTGATAGCCTACCACCCATGAATATGCCTGAATCCCTTTTAAGGCCACCTAAGTCAGTGGCCATCATAACATATAGTGGCTGTGAACATTCCTGCCTCCTATACCCAAGAAATCAATATAAGGTACATAGAGTTTCCAGGATCTTTCCTGTCCAGGCACTGTTCAGATGCAAAGTACAGTGGTACCTCGGGTTACAAACACTTCGGGTTACAAACTCCGCTAACCCGGAAGTCGTACCTCGGGTTGAGAACTTTGCCCCAGAATGAGAATGGAAATTTTGCGCCGGCGGCAGCAGGAGGCCCCATTCGTGAAAGCGCACCTCAGGTTAAGAAAGGTTTCGGGTTAAGAACGGACCTCCGGAACGAATTAAGTTTGTAACCCGAGGTACCACTGTCTCTTAGTTTCAGCAAAGTTGCTGCACTGTGTCGCTTCATTATCCTGCTCTCTTTTGTACTTGTTCTAGAAATTATTTTTAAAAAATTGCAAGGGAAGATCCTATTTTTCAGCAAAGAGGGATTTATAGAAACGTCTGAAGTTCTCTTTCCAACTTCAGACAAGTTTTAAGGTCATCTTGCTTTGATGCATCTGCCAATGTTTGATGGCCATGCATGTTTCCAAGAGATTATCCAGATCCCTTATCCCAGCGTGCACACATGGCTGCTTTTAGCAAATGAAAAAAAGTTAGACGATGCATGCATGCACCTCTTTTATCTGGGTTCTTAAGAGTGCATACTCTGAAGAGCTGGTAACACTAACTGTAGGAGCAGTATGGTCTCACTCTGCATTGGTCCACATCACCCTGCTCTGGTAATCATCATCATCATCATCATCATCATGAATCTATTACAGTCATACCTCATGTTATGGCCGCTTCAGGTTATGTGTTTTTGGGTTACGGACCGCGGGAAACCTGGAAGTACTGGAACGGGTTACTTCTGGGTTTCACCGCTCGCACATGCGCAGAAGCGCTAAATCACGCTTTGCGTATGCGCAGAAGTGGAGCTTCAGGATGCGAACGCTGTGGGTTGCGGACGTGCCTCCGTCACGGATTACGTCAGCAACCCGAGGTTCCACTGTAATTGCCTTATACAAAATCATCTCAAGGCAATGTACAATAGACACACAAACACACAAATAGTTAAAAATGCAGATAAATTTACAACAAAACGAAAACCACACAAATTAGACACTTGTGGCAAAGACCTGTTTATCTAAGCTGGGAAGGTTTGTCAGAACAAAAATGTCTTCAATTGTTTCCAGAAAGTGTAGTTCCAGATGTTTTGGGACTACAATTCCCATCATCCCTGACCACTGGTCCTGTTAGCTAGGGATGACTGGAGTTGTAGTCCCAAAACATCTGGAGGGCCGAGGTTGCCTATGCCTGGTGTAGATCGTAGGAGCCTGTCATATCTTGACAGTAATGCTGTTCCACAGAACAGGGGCTGCCACACTTAAAGCCCTGCTCTGAGTTACTGTGGAGTGGTGGTGGTGGGGAATTGTGCAGGAGGGACCGATAATGTTTTCATGCCTGCATGCAAGGATATGAGTACGGGAAGTAACCAGGAAGAGAGGGATGTAGGCAAAATTTTGGGGTTTGTCTTTATGCTTAAGAATCTACCCATTTCTGTTTCATTCGTTGGTGAATAAGCATAGCAACCCTGTTATTTCCCAAAATGTTTTTCCTGCCTTATGTTGTTTCGGTCATCCTTCAGCTGAAGTCGGTAGCGTGAGGCAGAGGAACAAAGAATGCTGTCTTATACTGAGTCAAAGCACTGCCTACAGAGATTGACAGTAGCTATCCAGGGCTTCAGGCAAATCTCTACCTGGAGATTCTAGGGACCAAACCTGGGACCTTCTCTACACAAAGCAGATTCTCTGCCATTCAGCTACAGCCCTTCCTGCTCACCTGACCTCCCAAGAGGTGAGTTACTGATACTTATCCAGAGGGAGATAGGGAAGTGGCAGGAAGGTCAGCGCAGTGCAAAGACATTGGTGCCGCCAGTCCATTGCTCCTGCTGGTGTGTTTGCACTGTGCTGAGATTGCCACTTCACATCTCCACCTCTCCCTCAGCTGTCAGGAGGTCAGGTGAGCAGTGCCACTGCCCCAGCACACTGTCTGGAATTGGAAATGGTGCAAAGCTAGGGTCTTGAGGGTGGTGCTTACCAAAAAGAAATTCATTCTTTTATAGCGTTATGTGAAATTGCCAAAAGAAAATGAAAACAACAACAACAACAACGGCATATGCTCTCTGTCTGAATACCTTAGACCTCACTCAACAAATGATAGCTGAAATATTTTTCAAAGACATTTTTGAAGGCGCATATGTGAAAGCTTTCACAATCTGCATGTTGCCACTATAGTCTATCTCCCAATGCTTAGGTGACTTGTATTATTTATTAGAATCACATAAATGCAGAGCTGGAAGGGACCCTAAGGATCATCTAGTCCAATCTGCTACATGCGGAAATATGGGGGCTTGTTCAACGGAGTTCATCTTGCTTTGGGTTCTGAATAATTTTCAAAAATGTGTCTCAAGTCCCAAACGTAAAATATGCTGTTAAGTTGCTACCACTGCCTCGTATTATCTGCTTTGTCAGTGTGGTGTCAAAACCACAACATTACACAGGTTGGGCGAGTGGTGTTGGTGGAGAACAATCACTAGCAAATGTCCCTTGTCTTCTTCCTGCAGCCCGTAGGAAGGCTCTTTCACAACATTCATGTAGCACACCTGAAAATGTTTGTTCATCTAAAGAAGGGAAGCCAACCCTTTAGCTGCTATTGGGTTCCGACTCCCATCAACCACAAGAGCCATCAGGGTCAGGGATGCAATCCAGCACCTCAAAGGACCCCATTTGCTAGCCTTGCTCCAAAGAAATGGCATAGCCCAACAATGTACAGTGGTACCTCGCAAGACGAATGCCTCGCAAGACGGAAAACTCGCAAGACGAAAGGGTTTTTTGTTTTTTTGAGCTGCTTCGCAAGACAATTTTCCCTATGGGCTTGCTTCGCAAGACGGAAACATCTTGCAAGTTTGTTTCCTTTTTCTTAACACCGTTAATACAGTTGCGACTTGACTTCGAGGAGCAACTCATAGCACGTGGTGTGGTGGCCTTTTTTGAGGTTTTTTAAGACTTTGGTGATTTTTGAAGCTTTTCCAAAACTTTCCCGACACCGTGCTTTGCAAGACGAAAAATTCGCAAGACGACAAAACTCGCGGAACGAATTAATTTCGTCTTGTGAGGCACCACTGTAGCTCAAATTTAGTATTCTCAAAACTTCTAACCAGATATAAATGGACCCAGGCCTTGCTCAAGCCATTAGGAAAATCAGAGCTATTGTACTATTGCTTCAAAGAGGCATACAAGGTCAACGCAGGAATGTCAACATCTCAGTGGGGGAGCGTATGGGACAAGAGGTCATACAAGGGCATGTTGTAACTCTTTACACTGATATTTCTCTGGCCTCATGCAGCCAGCCAACTATTTGCAGCAATAACAAATCGCAACACACACACACACCCCTAGCAAGTCCTGTTTGAAACCTAATGTATAGCTTTTGTGTCACCACTAAACCTTATGCCAATACTCTGCATTTATCCAATGACTCACTGCCAGGGGCAAATTTACACAAAGACTGATAGTGGTTGAAAAAGTTATTCATTTTCTTGGGGAACTTTAGTTCCGTGAGGGAGCAAAGGGTCTCTAAGGAAGTTAAGAGTCACCCAGATTCTTCAGGGGATGCAACGGCATTGAAATAAGCGAACAACTGCCTTAACTTTGTAGCACACATATGCCCCAAGACAAACATCTTAGGACAAAGCACATTTTTGTCTGCATTACAGAAGTTGCTGCTTCTATGGCAGATTTATTTATTTCTATACATCCCATATGCTACGAAAATTTAAGCTACTTTGCAGCTTACTATCCATGACAAAGCCCTTTTCTAATATGTCTTCTAGTGGCTACAGAATGTAGAAAGTGATGATTTACAGTAGCTTTAAAATATTACATTTTAAAGGCAAAGTGAGCATTGAAATGAAAGCACAACTGGAGCACAGGAGATCAGAATTACTGAGAAATGCATGTGAAGAGATTAGTGTGTGTGTGTTTTGTTTGTTCCATTTGAGGAGAAAAAAGACAGAGAAAAGGAGTATAAAACAAATCTCTTCCAAAATGAAAGTTATCTGCATAGTGCTTACAATTGCTTTCTGCCTCTGTCTCTCTCTTTGTTTGGCCCTTTCAGTTTCCCGTTTTTCATATTCTTTGCGGTATTCTTCCCTCTTCAGCCTTTCATGCTGATACTCCTCATAGCTGTCATATCTAGGAGACATAACTTAATCATTAAAATCAAGTGCCTGAATTTCCCAGAGGTACAATGAATAATAAAGATTGGGTGTGTTGTTCTTTTGACACATGCAAAAAGAAATATAGGTTAAAAATGTGAGACGTATAAATATGGGATACTACGCTACCTGGGTCTATGGCTATATGGCGATCTGGATCGGGATCTTGAATACAAGGGAGAACTTCTATATGCCAGGGGTCTACAGTGACTGGACTCATGATAGTAGGAAGATCTGTTAGAAGAAATAAAAAAGAACATTTGTCACTGATTGTAAAGGATGAGTTATCCCCAGCTTCCTACGGCTCACATCTACAGCTGATAAGGTTTTGTCATAATATGTGCATTTCTTAGCCACCTAGCAACAAAATATGCATCGCCTTGCTGGCTCAAGGGTCCAACTTGTCTAAGATTCTGACTCCAGCAATGGCAAGTTATGTGGCTCCATTTTGACATACAAGTCAGGCTCTGAGTATTGAGAGATCATGGGGACTCCACTTAGCTTATCAGATCTCCTATCCTTTAAGAGACTTATCTTCCGCAAATTTCAACTGATCCTTTTAGAAAAATAATAATCCAACAACCTCTAAGTTAGTTGGCCATCAGCACATGTTACAGGAATGAATTCCATAATTGTGTGGGAAAGTATTTCCTTTTGTCTGCCCAAGTGATTTATTTTCTCTCTGCAAATTCTTTACTGAGATAAGAATAGATGACTGAGTTAGCGACTGTCAGCCTCGTTTCGTATGAACTGTAACTAGCTTAGCATCGGAGAGGTTGCTGATAAAAGGTTAGCACAGCAACTTCCTGCAAGCGGGCAGTCACAGCCCATCACGCCGCTTGTTACTGCTCAGAAGCTTTCTTCCAGTACAGTACCTGGAGGAGGATCTGCTGCACGGCGACCTTGATCTCGATCGGGAATATGGAGAACGGGAACAAGACCGGTGCTGAGGAAAGGACCTTGATCGAGAACGGATCCTTTGGAATCTTTGAGAAAGGAAGGATTTGGGTGGAGACACTGAATCTCTGCATGGAGAGTTAAGAGATGAGCAAGAAGCCGACAGGTCAAACAAGGAGTAGGCTTGCGTCCCATCCCACGAGCAGCACAGTTTGTCACTTTCATCTTCGCTGTCATCGAAAAGACCTTCCATTGTTAGTCCTGAATTTATAAACATAGGTAGCTTGGAGAATTGTTCGTCACTATAATTGCCGTTGTCCCTCAGTGCACTGGTTTTAATGGTTTCCTCCTCAAAAACAGCTTGGCTAGGGTGACCAAAATGCTTATTGAGTTCGGCCCGGATTTCCTGGTCTTGGAGCTGTTTCCGGCTGTTGCACTGCAAATCCTGCCTGTTCGCCTGTGAAGTCTCTCTCTTGTACTGGTCACATTGTTCGAAAGAAGAACAAATATGGCACCACCGCTCAGGCAAGCAGCCTTTCAATTGGACTTGTCTGGACTCCTCAAGCTCCTGGGATATGTTGATGCGTATTTCTGTTTTCGAATTAACAGACTGACAGTAGTCATGGTCACCAAACAGCCGCAAACCAGGCCGCTTTGTCTTCCTCTCCTCATGACCGACAGACAGCACAGTTGTTTTACTAAGCTGCGCATACAGCTCTGACTGTTCCGGACCCTTCCGAACTAAGTTATGTCCTTGAGAGCTGGAAGACTCACTGCAGCGCGGTTTTTTGGAAGGTGGCATAACAGTCTTGCATGACGACTTTGGCTTTGGTGAAGTCCGAAAAGGGTTGTCTTGGTTGGCTTTGTGAGGAGGGGTTGTAGGCGGAGTTAGGCCTAAGAGGAAAGCAAAGCAAAAACCAACCAAAGTTGGTTAGCATGTGGGTTCTACCCTAACTTTCTCCCATGAGGCCCCCTCCTGTCGCTTCCCTGAAACATATCCTCAAAACCCATCTTTTCCACGAAACCTTTGCCACAACCCCTTATTCGCCTATTTTATGTGCATGCAGCTACACCGAACACACAATCTTCTCTAGTTCACCCTGGCTTCCATCTTGCTCACCTCCCGCCATCGACTCCCCCAAGTTGAAATTTAGATAGTCAGAATCTCAGAGGAAAAGATTTATCATCTTGTTGCTACTCTGTAATGTGTTATGAACATTGAGGGTGCTATATACATAAAGAAATCATGTTCATTAAAATGAATGAATGAAGCAAGCAAGCAAAGACACACACACACACACACACACACACACACAACTAAAAACAAAACAATGCTTTTATTTACCCCTTGCAACATAAAAAGTGATGCTGATGATACTAAAAGTCCCTTCTGTTATTACCTTTAGTGGTGTGGAATAGCTGCAGCATGGATCCTGTTTGCACCACTTGGTAATGTCACGAAGTCCTAGATCACAAGGTAGAAGCGAATGTTGTGGTTCCTTTCCACACCAGCATTGTCCCCCAAAGTAACGGGAGAAACACTGGCATGAGAAGAACCAAATCATGGGCTCCTCCCACATGGCCTTGGTCTTCAATACTACCACAGTGATGTGGGAGGGGCATGCATTCCTATGGCTCCGAAGCGGCTAAAAGAAGTGCTTTAAAAAGGGCCTCCGAATGTATATCAGCACAGGCCAAACCAGAAGCTTCTTTAACTGCACATGGGGAAGGCATCCTTATCTCTTCCCTCCCTAGCCTCAATCACAATGAAAATCATCCCAATACTGCAAAAGGCATTGCAAAAAAACCCCTCCAAAAATCTACCATGGGTATCAATGGAAGCTTTTTTTTATTTGCTGAATAAATTACAGTGGTGCCTTGCAAGACGAAATTAATTCGTTCTCCGAGTCTTTTCGTCTTGCGAATTTTTCGTCTTGCGAAGCACGGTTTCAAAAGAAGTTTTGGAAAAGCTTCAAAAATCACCAAAGTCTTCAAAAACCTCAAAAAAGGCTACCACAACGCGTGCAACTGCACCTCTTCATGCAATGCACCCTGGGTATTAACGGTTTTAAGAAAAAGGAAACAAACTTGCAAGACGTTTCCATCTTGCAAAGCAAGCCCATAGGGAAATTCGTCTTGCGAAGCAACTCAAAAAACCAAAAACCCTTTCGTCTTGCGAGTTTTTCGTCTTGTGAGGCATTCGTCTTGCGAGGTACCACTGTATTATTATTATTACCACATGGGGTAAATCAGTTTTCATCAAGATTGTGGCTGGGGGCGAAGGGGCAATCCTCTCTTCTCCATATGACACAGATGAACTGAGAATTGGGGCCCACACGCATAGCATTATTTAAGAAAACAACAGCAGATGTGATTGGTAACCACACTGCTAAAATAATGTCTAAGGAATGTTTCTTCCTTCAAACATCAAAACTAGGACACATCAAACACTATTGGAAGGGGGGAGATTTTGATTTTATTAATTTATTTTCTGATCAGGTTTCTGGACTATTTGGGTGTCCTCTCAACAGATAGAGAGTTTGAACTAATTTCAGTGGCATTCATTATACAAAGTTGATACTGTAAATTGTAGATTTAGACTGTAAATCTAAAACACTGTCACAGTCTTCTCCACTCATTCCAACTATTTCTAAAGCTAAAACAATCTAGATGACAGAAACGTGGAGTACTTCAGTAACAGACAACACAAAGAGATGCAAGACCTAAAACTGGCCATACAATTTGTAGCAATGATTCAGGTCTGCAGAGCTCAATAATTCAAGAAACCCTTGCTAATACACAAATAATAAAATATTGGAAACAAAACAAGGTTCTTCGAAAACACTGTTTTTTGCTGGGGGGGGGGGGAGGAACAGAACAATAGTGAAACTGAAACGGCAACTAAATACCCAAATACCAATGAATATTACAAAGGAGAGGCTGAAATTTACTTTGTGTCGAGCAAATAGAGGATTAAGTAAATAAAGAGGAGACAAATGTCAGATCAATAACTACCAGGTTCCCCCGCTCTCCCCGCACACTATGATGTGAATTTACTATGCCAGATCTCTTTGCAGAGATGAAAGATCACACACAGCCACGCTGAACCACCTAGAATGAAAGAAGGCAAAGCTTTCATCCCACTGCTGATAGTTTTGTGTAGCGGATGTCTGCAACTCTTTTTGAGTTTCTTTCAGGTTCTATAAAAGATTATGTTAATCAAATGATTTTTAAAAAACAAAATGTTGGGAACTACATCTTCCTAGCTGAGAGGCAAGTTAACTGAGAAGCTAAGTTGGGTAATGAAACAAGTTGTTTTTCTTTCTTTTTTAAGGAGGTTCAGAAATTTGCATCGATGGAAATGTTCGCTGAACAGTCAAATAGTGTCCAGGGTAATTTAAGTATTGTTATTCCTACCAACAGCATAGGATTGGCTTAAATAAAGCTGTGCAGAATTGTATTTAACTCTGCTGTTTTAGTTTTACAATGTGGAAACTGAAGATCTCTAGTTCAAATAGGCAAATTCAAAGAGGAACAGAGGTGTTACTTTGGAAAAATAAGACAAAAGCATTCCAATGGCTAGTAACACACAGCACAGCTGTTAGAAATGTTCAGTTTCAAGAGCAACACATAAGCAATCTCACTTACTCGGAGGCATCCAAGGTGTGTCTCAATATACCAAGCCACCACATAACAGCCCAAGGCCTCTATGGGTCCCTAACAATAATCCAGCAAACTGCACAGCCATGTTATCAATGCTGCAGGTAATGTGGCCAGCCCAAGACATTTTGGCACCTGAGGCAAACAACAAAATGGAGTCCCCCCTGCCACGGAAGATGTGGGGACTTATAGCCCACATCAGGAACAAGGAACAAGTCTAGTTTAATCCCTCAAGATGCAATTTTAAGGTCTGTGAAAGGAACTGCGCTGACAAATGGAGGGAACAATATTGTATTGCATCAGGAATGTTACCTCAACAGAGGTATGATCAACCACTGATCAGTGTCAGGCCAAAAGAGAGACAGTGAGAAATGTGTATAATCTGCAGAAGACAGAGCACTCTTCAGTCCAAAGGAACTCTTTTATCCTTCAGTGAAAGAATTGGTTCTGCTTTTTCTAATCTTTTTGCTGATGCTCCCCAAAACATTTTAATATATTATAGATGTTTTTGCTGGTCAGTTTGAGCCAAACTGAGCAAAAGATGTGAAACCTATAGGTCCCGCAATACGATTACATATTTTTGGTTATTTGGCTTTTTTTTAACATCGGTAATGTGGTGTTTGGAGGAAAGCTATTTGTTGATGAAGGTCAACATGGCCAATAACTTTATTAGAGTCATAGGCTTTATGAAAAAAAGGCTGCCTCACTTATGCACCTCAAACGATAATGACTACCTTTTCTATCCAATGGACTATTGAAGGGTATTGTATGGTAAAGTTGGCGAGGATGCTGGACAGAAGGGCTTGCAAGTGTCTGTTTTTAAACAAAATAAACAAAATAAAAAATCAATCACCACTGAATTTCTCCTAAAATAAAAATACTTCCATATCATTAGTAAAATGTGCAAAAAGAAATAAGGTGAGATGAGGAGAACTATGTTTAAGGAGAGAGAGAGAGAATGAGAGAGAGAAAGAGAGAGAGTTGGGGAGCCTTAAAAATTAAGGACTAGGAACTAAGCACAGGAACTTAACAACTCACGTATATTAGATGCCTTTTAAGTTGAAATGAAGTTATAAATGCACACATAGGCAAAATGAAAGCTAAACAAATTAATCCCCACCCACCCACATCAAGAAAATAAGATGGGCATGAAATCATATGGTTTTGAGGAAACAAAATGTGCATGTGGGGAATAACTCTTTTGAGAGCTTCTCCCTTTCTGACAGAAAGCTAGCATAATGTTTTGATGACTGTGCCGGTTTTCTATTTGCAGGAAGCTTTTCACATAGGGCAGCATTCAAAATTAGACCTGCCTCCAACAAATGGCTACAAAATTGAACCTGCAAACATATAAAGGTAAAGGTTGACCATTAGGTCCATCTCGCTTTAGTGGCCTAGGGAGCCAGCATACAGCTTCTGGGACATGTGGCCAGCAAGACTAAGCCGCTTATGGCGAACCAGAGCAGCGCACGGAAACGCTGTTTACCTTCCCACCGGAGCGGTATCTATTTATCTACTTGCACTTTGACGTGTTTTCGAACTGCTAGGTTGGCAGGAGCTGAGACCGAGCAACGGGAGCTCACCCCGTCGCGGGGGTTCGAACCGCTGACCTTCTGATCAGTCCTAGGTTCTGTGGCTTAACCCACAGCACCACCCGCGTAGTGAGCCAGTATTTGCTATGGCTTCCCGATGAGTGTACTGTCAGGAGCAAACCCAAGTTTGTCACTATGAAGGCTCCCCTGGATTCTTGGCAAGGAGGTATATCAGTACTCCCTCACAGGGGGAAAAATCCACACTTCACTACAACAGGCACATTAGAAATTACTACATTTTATGCAACCCAAGAACTCGAAGTGTCCCGAAGTGCTGCGAAGGGGCAAAAAAACCCCTGCATGCCTTTGTGTTGAGGTGTGACAAGGATGGGAAGTTTCCCCTGTGTATGATTTTGCTGTGGCACCACACACAAAAACGTCATATGCTCCACAGTCTCTAGCGGTCTACCTTAATACTGTCTTGCCATTTCTCTTATTGCTGAGCTCCCAGCTGTTGTCTAATGACTTTACACAGATAAATTTCTGGAGTGAATTTTATACCCACCCACCCCTGGACCTGCAACCCTGGCGGGCGGCTGGTTTCACCAACCCCTAAGAACACCTCTGTCACCAGTGAAGAGGGGGAATGTCCAATATTTATTTAAGTAAGGAGGAGAAAAGTTTTGCATTGGTTCTTCTTCC